CCTTCGACTTGATGATTTCCATTCCTTTGGATATATTCATACCACACTAAGGAATCGTGGCTTTCCTTTACAGGCAGTGGGCACTGGCAGGGTGAAGAATAGATTAGAGGGGTGAGAGACTGAAGGCAGAGAATCCAATCAATAACTATTGCCAAAATCCAGATGAAAGATGAGGACCTGACCTAAGCGAGAAGCAACAAAAATAGAGAGAAGTGAGCAGACATAAAAGAAGTGAGAAGAAGAAATCAACATGACTTGGTTAGTAAGTAGATGTGATGAAGAAGAAAGAGTCAAGGTCAACTGTCTTGAGCAATTGGATGGATGGCTTTGGCATTCATCTAAATAGCCCAAGAGGAGAAACATCAGATATTAGAAGAATACTTAAGTTTTGGACATAAATGATTTGCTGAGCAAGTGAGATGGAAAGTCGAGAATATCTATTAGGCAACTGACTATGTGAACTCAGATCAGAAGAAAAATATAAACTGATTATTCAACTACCATCGATCTACACACACAAGCCTAAAACTTAGGGGTCACCTTTGACACTTTCCTCTCCTTCACCCATATTCAATCTAATACTAAATTTCACTGTATCAAACTTACCTCCCAATACATGCCAAATCTGTCCACTTCTCATCTCCGTGGTCACCACACAAATCCGAGCTTCATGGTTGGTTCCCAATTCTTAATAACAGCTCCCTCTGAACCTAACATTGGGTCCTCAAATATCTTCTCTATGCTATACCACAGTGATGTTTTAAAAACAAAAATGTGATCGACTCCTCCACAACCTCATTCCTACCACAGTTTTAAAACACTTTAGTCACTTTTTATTGCTCTGGTTTAGACTAAACACCAACATGGTCTGCAGGTCCTGGCATGGTCTTGTCTCTGCCTCCTCCTGTAACTCTATCTTTCTAGTCCTTTTCCTTTACTATGCTTAAGCAATGCTGATCTTCTTTAAGTTTCCTGAAGACTCTGTTCTCTCTTTAACTTCATCCTCCCCTCCTTTACCTACTGAGCACTGATGAATCCTACAGATGTTTACCCAAACACAATGACCTTAGAGAGGCCTGTAGTTTTTCTTCAGCCGAGGTCAGATTTATATTATTTATACTCCTTGGGACTATCTTACTTTCAGCGCTATTAACTCATCTGTAGATACAGATTCATATGTGTAGTTATTTGTTTGATCTCTGTGCTCCCCATTAGTGACTAAGAGCCATGAGAGCAAGAACTCTGTCAGTTTTTGCTCAAAATAGTAATTCCAGTGTTTGACACACAGAAGATGCTTTATAAATTTCTGCTAAACAAGTATTGGGCCATCTCCATACAGACAGTAATTCAAGCCATGACAGTGAGTGATATCAACTAGAAAAAAACAAGTGGATTAAGAAGAAAAAGTACCCTAAAAGAGAATGCTAATGAATACCAACATTTAACACACAAAACTGCAGGTAAGTAGGACAAAAACTAAAAATGTCTGGCATCATGGAAACTGAGGAAGTGGGAGTTTCAAGAGGGAAAATGT